AACATATTTATCTGCTAATTGGCTTTCATGGAGATAATTTCAGCATGGCAGAATATCTTCTAAATGCTCTACGTAGGAACATAAATAGACTTTTCACATCTACTTATTCTCAGCGATTCATCCTCACTATGGTAAAGGCTATTGTGAGTTACCTTTGATCTGTTTCCTGTAAGAGTAAGTTTTCACCTGCTTCAGAGAGATGAAGACAGGTACCTCAGAAAGCTCGTTAATGTGAACTTTAAATCCTTGGAATTTTATAGTTAAAATTCTTTAAATAGTTGTCTGCATGTTTAGTTTTATTATGCAGTTATCATAGAATCACAGAATGGTTAGAAGGGGACCTCTAGAGATTATCCGGCCCAACCCCCCTGATCCAGCAGGGACACCTAGAGTATGTGGGACAGGGTGGCATACAGACAGGTTTGGAAAACCTCCAGAGAAGGAGACTCCACAACCCCACTGGGCAGCCTGTTCCAGGTCTCTGTCATCCTCACAGGTAAGAAGTTCCTCCTCACCTGGAGACGGAACTTCCAATGTATCAACTTATATCCACTGTCCCTTGTCCTATCATTGGCCACCACTGAGAAGAGTTTGGCCCCTTCATCCCTACATTCACTCTTCAAGTATTTATACATGTTGTTCAGATCCCCTCTCAACCTTCTCTTCTGCAGAGAAAACAGGTCCACCTCTCTCAGTCTTTCCTCATACAACAGATGCTCCAGTCCCTTCCTCATCATCATCGCTCTGCACTGGACCCTCTCTAGGAGCTCCACATCCCTCTTGTCCCGGGGAGCCCTGAACTGCCCCCAATACTCCAGGTGCGGCCTCACCAGAGCTGAGTAGAGGGGCAGAATCACCTCCCTTGACCTGCTGGCAACACTCCTCCTGATGCAGCCAGGATCCCATTGGCCTTCTTGGCCACGAGGGCACTGCTGACTAATGGTTAACTTGGTGTCAACCAGGACTCCCAGGTCCCTCTCCGTGGAGCTGTCTCTCCAGCAGGTCAACCCCTCATCTGTCCTGGTGCCTGGGGTTATTCCTCCCCAGGTGCAGGACCCTGCACTTGTCCTTGTTGAACCTCATGAGGTTCCTCTCTTCCCAACTCTTCAGCCTGTCCAGGTCCCTCTGGATGGCAGCACAGCCCTCCGGAGCGTCAGCTACTCCACCCAGCTTGGTATTGTCCGCAAACTTGCTCAGGGTGCACCCTGTCCCTTCGTCCAAGTCACCGATGAACAATTAATAAAAAAATCATGTTAGGCTTAACTGTGAAACTACAAATCCCCATCATTAATTTCTTCAGCCTCTTTGAGAACACCCTCAAATTTGATATCAAACATATGAAACAGCTTTCATTTATGTTATAAATAAAAGATCAAATATCACTTATTTCTCTGAAAGACCTTAATCAAAAAACAAACAGCATTAGTAAATGTTCTTCCTGTTAAGCCTTTCAAAACATGGTATGATCCCAAAGTTTCAGAAGAAAATTACAGAAGGAGGAAGAGCACAAAAAATTCAGTGACTTTAGTAAAAAAAATCTTAAATATTTTATTAATAATTTATTTCATACAATGAATTAATAATCTTTTAAAAGTTATCAGAGTGTCAGAGTTTTCCCTAAAAGCATACACCTTATTTATGACCCTTCAGTTGTACTTTTGTCCTTTTATTAATAATATTTACAGTGACAGTAGCATAATAGCCTAAGTATTTGGGGTAAGCAAGACTGGCTGGAGAGTTACTCCTGGAGGTAAGCAAAAAAAGATGGCAAACAGATACTATTTTCAATTCAGAAGGATTTGTTATCCAAAGCCAGTTATTCCAAAAATCATCAGTAGGAAGTTAATATTGACTAGTGATATATTTTTCTAGCTCAGCTTTGAAATAGTGGTCAGCTTATTTATTCCTTCTGAGTGGTAACATCAAGAAAATAGGTATTGGTACAACAAATTAGAAGAAGATAATCCAGTTCAGAACAACAGTTTTATAAGTATACCAGTATGGTATCTTTTCAGTGAAAGCTAAATTAAAAAGTGGCCTTCTCTATTATTTGATAGTAAAAATTGGTGATAAATTTTTCTAAATTTTGTAAAACTTTTAGGCTAGCCCAACATCACTTTTGAATAGTTTGTGTAATATACAGTTATATGACAAAGCTGTGTACTTTGGAGGTAACTTGATGGGTAAAGAAATCAAAATATTTAATTTAGACTTCTTATAGTCTAATTTTTTGTGTAACAGAAATGGTGAAATACCTTCTATTGGTATAACACAGCACTCAAAATTCTTTCCAGTGTAATTAGTTTAATTCAATGATTACTAATTTTTCAGCTTCTATAATCTGAATCTGGATAATGTTTGAATTTTTGCATAAACTTAATTAATGGCATAACTTTTTGAGTAGGTTTCTATATATTTATTTTTCTAATCAGCACTCTATTCTACTCATTACTTTCTTCTCACCTTTTACTCAACAAAGCTCTCAAGGAGTTCAGTGAAACTTGTCTTCAGTAAGAAACCAACTATGCTGAATAAAGTCCTTTACTGTGTTTATTACACAATATAATCTTTTGTTGCACTGGGTGTTAACTAAAAAGCATAGAAGTGAACCTTTAATTTTCCACAATGATTTTACTAGTTGTCCTTATTAGGTTCCCCTTTTGCATGTTGGGATGCTAAGGAACAGAGAAATCAAGTAGCTTGATAAAAGCATCAGTGCAAGAACCAAGCACATAACCAGACTGTCAAAAATCTCATCTGATAGATTAAAACCACTTCACTTTCCCCATTCTTTTTTTTTTCTTTTTTCTTGGTAGGGGTTGTAGGGATGATGAAAAGGACTTCAGAGTCTCTATTGGTGTCAATCTGCTACACTTCACAGCACTAATTATCATTTTTAAAAAGAAAAATATTCCACGTTAAGAATAATTGCCACCGTCAGCGAAGAGTCAGTACTTATCCTGTCACGGTCAATTCAGCAAACAAATATTCAAGTGCCAAACCACAAGCCCATGAAACTCTAAACTCAGCTAATTGCTTCAGTTTGGGTTCAGGCCATGCTTATATTTATGACTGAACTCAACTCCCACATTAAGTATAACTTAATGATGATTTCTGTTTCTTAAAATCTTGCAGAAAAGCTATTGACTGACAAATAAACATTTTCTTTAAACTACAGATTGAAAAGCAAATAATGTAACAACACCTATAAATTTGGCATGGTTATTCTGGGCACAAACTCTCCTCTGCTCTGCTGAAATAATTTAAAATCTCATGTAATTTATAAGAATCCACTCATTATATCTAAATTATTTTCTTGATGGAGATTCACTGTGGCAAGATGAAATCTTTCAAATCTTCCACAGAAAACTTTTTCCTATTTAAGAAAACTATGATTTTTTTTCTGTCAATTTACACTTGTAACTATTTTTTTTCTTCAAATTGCTGTTTTCTACAATAGCTGGAATAACAACTTCACGCTTGTTAACATAATGAGAGCCAGCGCTACTGGTTATAATGACAGCCAGGCTTTCTCCTGCCTTTTGTTCTCCCACTATCGATGAAGGAGCATTCATCTTCACTTAAGGGGTTTGGGAAGTGCACTCCCTATGCAAAACAAACAAAAACTGTGCTCAAAAAGAATAATAGTTTCTAATGTACTCTAGTACCACCTGCTTTGTGCTAGTTCTTTCATTAACTAAAGGACACGTTGAATTTAGCACTGTGTCTTTACGCTTTATTTTGCAACCCTGGTCATTTGAGTACTTCCTGCTCCTAGAACTGTGCATGCAGGCAAAGGGTACACAAACAGTCCCTGAATGTGGAATAATCTCCTAAAATACATGAACAAAGCTCTGTGTTATATCACTCTTACATGTACGTTGCAGCTATTAGAACTAGATAAGGATGCTAACTTTCAGTGCAAAAATAAGCATATTTATTTTTATGTCATCAAGTTTTACACATTCACAAGAGCTTTCTAACCAGATCCTGAGGTAATTTTTTTTAAAAAGCAGCCATATTAAAACTTTGACACATTGGTGAAAGGTAGACAGAAGATACCAGGAACACACATTATGGTGATAGCACCTCACTGAAACTTAGGATGTTCTTCCAAAGGAAGATCTAGATTGTCTTGTCTAGAATTGGAATGAAACTTAGAAAATTTTACAAAATAGAATATTCTCATAAGCTCTATCACATTAATCCATCCATCAGGTTCATTGCTATCTGACACATCTGAGTGCTAAGGCTGATTTCAGGGTGGGCACATTTTTCAGATCTGGTTGGACTGAATTCCAGGTAACAGACTTTGGAATGTACAAACCTTAGACCAGCAAAGACACACATGAAGACATATCTGTCACTGTGGATAGTTTGTTTTTTTTTTCCACCCCTGTCATCTGAGAGAATATAACAAAGCTCAAGATAAAATACCATACATGACTTACTAGACACATGAGCTTACATACATGAATAATCTCTGTGTTGGATATTAATTGCATAGGGAATCAGGTTCTCCATTTAGTTTAAACATTCTTCTATTCCAAAATTTCTCAAGAATCAGATAATCTGAATGACAACCTACCCCATTTCTGCAGTTCTGTTTTGACAAATACTAAGTCAAACTATCCTATCAGATAAACACAGAATAACAATCTTTTAAACTCTAAAGGACAGGAACACACCTGTATTTTGTACTGGAATAGCAGAATATCACCCTCATGTCTCAAGGGATCCCCATTTTGTATTTGGAAAGGAAACATATGACACTGTGTGTAAATGCACATTAAGCTAGAAGCTTAATACACACTCTAACAAAATGGACAACTCAAATCCAATTCTTACTGAAAGCTTCTGAGATTTTGCTATTTTGCTCTTTTGCTATTGAAAGTGCTGCCTGGCCACCACCGTAGCAACAGATGACAAAGTAAGATCTGATCATTTTAAAGGACAAATCAAAAACTTCCATGATTAAAAATAACAATTAAAAATATTACCTGGGTCTTCTATAGATAAATTCTTCGTTAACCATTGAACAATGTCTGAACCTAGGAACAAAATAACAGATATTTTAATTTAGCAATTTTCCTTTCTTATTCTCAGGTTCCTAGTCCAATTAATATTATTTTACCAACCTAAAAAAAAAAATCTTTTTTTTTTGGTTCAGTTTTTCTACAATCAACTGGGTCTTTTTATATTTTACAGTGTCTCCAAMAGTTAAGCAAATGAAACATTCTGATCACTCCTTCATTTAGGCTTAGATTCATAAAACATAATAGAAGCACATTAAAGATATGATAATAGCTTGCATTTCAAAAATGGCGTTGTTGCGAAATCTACATAGAAAAAGAGACAAATATTTTATTAAGTTAACAGTAAGTACCTCTCCTTCTGAATTACTTTATAAATGAAGTCTAGAAAAGGCCAATACAATACACATCATGATGATGCTATCTACGGAGTACTTGCTGTAGGCCATTTTTTAAATGGCCTTAAAATCATTTTTGGACTAATACATGCCTCATTTTGAGCTCCATTTAGGAGCTCCAATTTGTCAGACTTGCCTTCTGATTTTCTTGCCTTTATCTATCACTTCTGCTGCAGAGACTTTTGACTCTCAGCCATCAGTAAAAGCATATTCATTTATTTACCTCATCAGGTGAAAGAAAGAGTTTAAAACCTTGGTTTTAAACCATGTCTAAGCCCTCTGTAGAATTTGTTCTTCTCCTGGTGCTAAAGTTCTTTTCTTACTATTGCAATCTCTATTCTTCTTTTGTATCCATTCGTTTACTGTCTGTCCCTTTCTCTTTTTAATTTCCTGTCCTTATTTTAAGGTCCATGTTATTACTCCCTCCTAACACCTTTGATGCCCTGCTGTCTTTCAGTATTTTTCTCCCTTTCCCTCTCACTTCCTAAAATGCCTCTGTTGGCTCTCGGCTATGAATGTCTTATCATGCATTGTACTCTATGAGTCCAGCCAAGCTGTAGTCAATCACAGATTTTGGACTGTAAACTCTCCAGCTGGACTTCACCCACTGTGAACATGCTGAATTACAAAATAAATTATGAAACAGTTCTGTAGACAAAAGGACAAAGACATTTATGATTCAGAAAACTTTAAATAACAGCATTGTCCTAAGCAGAAAAAGTATTAAAACACTAGAGGGGTTGTATGCATTTCCTAATCATGCATCCAGTCGTCTTCCAGACAAACAATAAAATGCAAAGACATGTCACACAATACTTCTTTATAAAATCAGTATTTAGGCTGTCTATTTATTCCTGATCAGATGTAATACTATCATTCCATTGCAAGTTTTAAGTTTAAAAAGCAAGAAAGATAATAAAAGTTTACACAAGTGTTAGACAAAATAATAAAATCTCATGACATCTTATTGGACAGTAATATGTGATATGTGTATGAAAATACTAGAATATGTGAGGAATTTCTCCTTTCACTACTCAGATTCTGATTTCTTCCTGTACTTCAAATTCATAATTTCCTTTTAACTTTTAGGTCATATGAATATGATGCACTAGAAAAATTTTTCAGAGGCCAAGGAAAATTCATTCTAACCAGGAAAATTCTTCATTCTAACTAAAATCATTTTTCTGCTTCTATATTATTATTCTTAGTGAAGGAGTTTACCTTGTACTTTACAATGCCTACTTGATTATAATGTAACTTCTTTGAACATGTGCATTACTGAATTGATTTCATAGCAAAAGAAACTGTGGTGATTTTACAACCACCTCCAGAGAAAATATTTTTATTAGCTTGTTGCAAATCTACACTTTGACAGATATTAAGCTCCAGTGGTCCCATTTCTCATAGCAGTTGCCCTGAATTTTTCCTTAAACAAGCCAATTTGCTTTTGCATGTTCCTGCTGCTGAATGTGTACAAAATGTTTTCAGTTAGAAATTCCTATCTCAAAGTATTCTACTACTTAGATATTTCTATAAGCATATTTCCTTTTTTTACTCATGGCATTAATGAGACTGTCACTAAAGGATGAGTTTCAGCTTAAGTCTAAAATGAAATTTTACAGACAGTAAATTCAGCGAGGCAGTTCCAATGTATATTTTCTTCCATTAGCCAACAAGCAAAATTAGTCAACCTTAAATATTGCCATAAAACATCAGAGGTTACAGAAAAAAACTGCCATAAAACATCAGAGGTTACAGAAAAAAATAATTAGAAAAAAAAGAGATTTTTGAATACCAAATTCTAGCCTCAACTTCTTTCAAACCACTCATGCAACATACGGTTTGTAATTACTTCTTTCCACCCACTTCTTCCAAAATCTTTCTTATGATGACACACCGTATATCTCATTTCGAAACTCCTGGCATCACATTTGCAAACCAGATCTGTGCATCAGAGATTTCACCTCAATACATTACAAAACCTTCTGGCTTATTATGAATAATAGTGGGAAAAAGGGATTTCTTGACAGTTGCGTAATCTTTTTCTGAAAGATTGTCACTATTCTATGTACATTTTAGACTGAAGTCATTCCCAAGGTGCTTGAATTCCTGAACAGTGTTGTATAAGCTAGCTTATCATATTCATGTAATACAATGATTTGAGCTGCATGACGTAAGCAACAGAAACTCAGGCCAATAAATGTCAGCATATAGACCCTCTTTCTAGAGTGATGAGTTTTTGAGTAAATTAAAGTTGTGAATAATTTATCATACTGCAAATGAGGAAGTGATCAGTTCATATTCCTTTATGGAGATCCTGTGCACTACTCTAGTCCTAAAAGGAAAAATAAGAATATTATTTTATAATAGTTGTGTGTTTCGGTCTGCTATTTTTAATACCTAATCAACAAAATTATTTCAACTCAGCCACTTCTGTGCCCATTTCTGAACTTTATTACTTACACAGAAGTGTTTCAAAAAGTGAGATTGATGTTTCAAAGCCCTGAGAGTTCCTGGAACCAAATGCCAGGGAGACAGGAGAAATGCAAATAGATCAGTAAATACCACCAAGAGTCTTGAAGCAGGAGTTACCTGTTACAAACAAGAAAAATAGAATGGATCATCTGCCCTATCAGCAAAACCTTGAAGAATTGGCTGAAAACTAGTTCTTTTGGAAACATCAACTAAATGCAAGTGACTCTTGGCTCAGGAAACCCTCCAACCCAAATGAGTGGCGCACACACGGTTATCTAAAAGTTACGTAAGAAAAGCTCACCAATCCTGTAATAGTTGCACTATAATATGCAGTAGAGAGGAAGAATATATTTATACAAATATTTATATATTTATATAAATAATCAGCGTACTGAGCAGCTGGGTGTGCTAGTCTTGTAGATCACCTCTGTCTGCGTGGAAATGAAATAAATAAGCACCTTAGCCCTGGATGTACAACTGGCTTATTGCACAGGGTGATGGACCCTGCTTTAGGGTCAAGTTTCTGGTGAATGAGATGGGACTGCAACATCTTGGTGGGATCGACTGATCATCCCGAACAATAGGTTTTCAGTCGTGGACTCCAGCGCCCACTGACTCTTTTGATCAGGGACTCTGGACGACCTGCCCCATGGCCAGGAGGTCAGTGACTCAAAGGCGCAATGACACTAACGAGGTATTTATCAGAGGCATGAGGATCTCAAAGTAATTAGTCCCTCTTGAGACTGCTAAGAGTAACATGAACCTGGGGCAGGGTTCACAGCAGATCTGCAGAGGTGAACCGTGGGGGGTTCACACTGAGGTCTCTTATGCAGACGTGTGGTAGGGACTGGAAAACATTTTTGCCAACAGGGATTTGGAGCCAAGTAAGAAACTAGAAATCTTTAGGATTGCTTTGAAAACTAATTCTCTGTAAAATGGGTGTGTCCAGCTCTAACGACGTAGCCCCTGTACTACTTGTTGGATAGAACCTGAAACGCTGGTACAAATTCAGAGGGGATCCCCTTAAAAAAAAAAACAAACAAAAAAAATATCATTATCATTGGTGGACAACGTATAATTTGGATATTGGGGAACAATGGCTGGAGGACAGGTCAGTGAATTATAATACCATATTGCAAATGATGCTGTTTTTTACACAAATGGAAAAGGCAGTGGAAATGCTATATGTGGATTTGTTCTTTTCTTCGAGATGGGATTGTGAAATCAGAAAGAAATGTCATTTGTTAAAATGAGGTGCACATGGAACTCTGCGTTGGCAGAGAATTTAAGTGAAAAAAAAAAGGCAAAAAGGGAAAGGCTGCTGTGTGGAATGTGATAAGGGAAAGAAGTGTCTTAATGAGGGAAAAGGAAGCAGAGGACGTGAAGCTATTAGCGCCCACAGCCGCCCTGGGGGAGCACGGAGCAGTAATGGAGAAAAGCAAGACTTTAAACCCAATATCTGGCAGAACACAAGGACAGCAGAGACTGGCACTGCCGGCTCCCTTGAGACTGGCTGTAGGGCCAGGAGGAGCAGGTTTTGGGCACATGCCCTTCACCACTGATCTGCTGGACTGGAAGCAGTGTACTGCTTCCTATTAGGAGACCATAGAGGGACCCATCAATTATTAGATACTATTAGGCTAATTCATACATAATCCGGACTGGGAAGACATTCAAGCGGAATGAAGGACAAGGTATAGATTAAACTTAGATGTAGATAAAYTTATGCCAAAAAAAGGAACCAGAGTGGGATCTAAATAAAAATTCAGGAAAAGACAGAATAAAGGAGTATCAGGAATTAATTCTGCATGGTCCAACATGGAGTTTAAAAACCTAAAAATGTGTCAAAACTCTATGAGATGAGAGGAAATCTCTCAGCCAAAATTTTATGGAAGGTTGTGTGAGACTGCTTGCAGAAGGACAGATTTGGCTCTGGAGGGTGAGGCTGATCCAAGGTTGTTCAATACACTGTTTATAGGGCAGTCAGCTACTGATATCAGGAAGAAACTCCAGAAGAATACTGGAAAAACTGATGTCTGCAGAAAAAATCCCACAAACACAAGATTATYGATTAGTACAAGACTCAGGAGAAATTAACAAAGTAACAGTTGACGTGCACTTGGTGGTACCTAATTCCTATATGCT